GCTACTGAGGTGAGTTACTTTGGTTTCTCTATTCTGATCGCATCCGCTTATATAACTGTGCATAATTTGGACTAAGAGTCGTACTAGATCGTCGGAGGGATCCCCTCGTTGGGACTTTTAGCATTCGCGCAGAAGATCGTTGTCAGAAGCAGTGGAATGACAAGAACAAGTGGCAGATGCGTCTCAACTGAGCACGGGCCGTGTCATCTGGCAGTGCGCGCGCAGTGCGTACTATGGGGAGTGGTGGGGGGAGGGGGGGGGAATTACTGTATCCGCTTACGCAGTTGGCGTCAGAGGGTCAGGCCTTCAGCAGCTCTCACTCTGTCCCGCCACCGGCCCGCAAAATCTAATTGGCAGCCATCCTCGAGGGTGTGATCAGGGGACCGCCGTCGATTTAGCACAACCTAACGTACATAAAGATATATTGCCACTGACCTGGGGGGTGAATATCGCCCACCAGCCGTAAGCCGCCGCATGTAAAGAGTCACGCAGGTGAAGGAGCTGCTGTTTCCAGATGAGCAGCCGTGATGGCCACCTGAAGATGTCAGATTTGGTTAAGAATATACCTGTGAAGATGGATTTATCGATTTGACCACCATAAATAGCGCAGCAGCCACTGCAAGACATTTCTTACCAACCTGCTTCTCATTTGAGTAGTTAGCAATGACAGTAATGTTTGCAGACTATGTACTCGAGGTAGTCTCCTTTCCAGATGCTACCTAAGGGTTTAAGCCTTCAATTATTTCGGCACCTTTAGACCACGTCGCACGTGGCGTTTTACGAGGATACTCACAAATAACCCGTCTTTCACGACGCCCAAACATCGTCCGTTTGCGGAAAGTTGGCATGTAGCAGACGTGAAATGTTAGTAAGGCGAAAGGGCCATAATTCACCAGAGGGCGAAAAGGCCGACCATCTCACTTTTAATTAATAGAGATACTGGCTGTAAGGCCGCATTTGAACTTACCGAGGCTCGGGACTCACTCCCAAACCAATAAGCCTGCATATTGTTTCCCGGTTATGGAACTTTTAATCGTAGTTTAGGGGGTTAGAGCGTTGTCAGTACTCCATTTATGCCGCTGCTGTTGTGGGTTTCAACCGCACTGAAGCCACCGCGGTTTTCATTATTGCATCAATTGAACCATTTAAATCTGCCAAGTCCAATTAATTATGTGAGCTTGGTAGTCATCTGGCGGATTCCAGACTGGTCGCTTAGTGAATCCCGTTTGGTCAGTCATCTTACTGTAGCAGAATTCGGTAATTCCATCCACTATAGTAGATTGAGCGGATGATTTGATCCAAATGCGATTAAACCCACGGATCTCGGTCGCGGCCTCGTAATTCAGCCTTCCTGTTGCTGTTGTGGGTTCAATTCCCACTGAGGCCTCCGGATTTTTTATAATCTGGTCAAGTGAAACCTTTTCCTTATCATTTTTGTCGTCGTTGCTGCCGCCGCCATCGATATCATCATCATCATCATCATCATCATCATCATCATCATCATCATCATCATCATCATCATCATCATCATCATCATCATCATCATCATCATCATCATCATCATCATCATCATCATCATCATCATCATCCATATTGACTCAACTGTGAAAAACTCGGCTCCACGGTGGGATTCGAACCCACGACTGTAAGGGGAAGGCTTTAGTACAGCCAACGCTCTAACCACTTGAGCTACGAGGCTCCGCCGGACGACTCGAGTTTAATCACATTTGGGTCAAGTTGCCCGCCCAACCTACTGCAACGTCTGGAATCCACAAAATCTGCCAAAACATCTATGAATTACGTGAGCCTGGTAGTCATCTGGTGGATTCTAGGTGAGTTACTTATGAAATCCTGCTTGGGCAGTCAACTTACTGTATCAGATTTGGTGGATTCCAGACGTTGCAGTAGGCTAGGCGGATAACTTGACCCAAATGTGATTAAACTCGAGTCGTTCGGCGGGGCCTCGTAGCTCAAGTGGTTAGAGCGTTGGCTGTACTAAAAGCCTTCCCCTTACTGCGTGGGTTCGAGTCCCATCAAGGCGCTGAGTTTCTCACAGTTGAGTCAATATGAATTATTAAAAGTCTGCCAAAACATCTATGAATCATCATCATCATCATCATCCTCCTCCTCCTCCTCATCATCATCATCATCATCTCCGCGATATCGCGGACTGCTGTAAAGATTGTCGACCTGTTCCCGCTAGTCTGATTACGTGCCTGAACCAAAGATGGCAAAATCAGATGAATACGAGTTATTTTTGCTATTAAAATTTTCCTCTTCACATTGTGGCGGACGTTCTTTTTATGTGGTCGGTGAACTTCAATCAGACCAATGCTCCATGTATCACTCACCCTCACCCCCCTCTTCACTCACAGCCCTGTTCGGATCGCGGACGTTGCGTATGCGGACGCTGCAAGTGTAACCTACCGCGCTACCAGGGTCAGTACTGTGAATGCGACCGACATGGCTGTAAACGCGCTTCTGATGACAATCAGGTCTGCGGTGGACCTCTGCGTGGAGAGTGTCAATGCGACGGCACCTGCAAGTGCAAGCCCGGATACACTGGAGACCGTTGTGACTGCATGCTCAGCGACGCAAACTGCTACGACCCCCTCAACCCCACGGTAAGCACTTCGCTCTTCCCCTCATTACTGTTCTTGTCGTTTGAAACATTTTGTCCCCGGTACGAAGTTGAAGTAGGCAAGAACGGCAGGATTTATTGGTACCAAAAAATTTCGCGACTGCTCTTCAGCTGCGTCCAGTCGCTTCATAAGAGAGATAACGAGTGAGAACAATACAACAGATTTGAATTCGTGCAGAAAATCAATGCAGAAACAGCAAGGTCAGGGTTTTAGGCAAAGCTGGCTAATCAGCCTCTGCTTATTGCTGTATTCTAGTTGGGCGTCACTGTTGTTGATAAAACAGAGAATTGCTCTTTTGAACTCTATTGGCCTTCACCAAACCTAACCAGAGTGCACACACCGCAGGATGGCCCTCGTAACTCGTCAGACAGCCGCTGCATGCGATGGTTTAATTGGGGTGGTGGTGGTTTCCTGTAGCCCTCATATTCTAACAATGAACATCTTTCTCCACCTTGCTACCACAGCAGTTTAAGATTGTGCCGGGTTGGTGGCGAACAGCAGTCACGACTTGTGGCCGTTTTATAGATGACTAAGTTGCTCAGATACTTGACCAGCCACTCACGAAGGCGTTATTGCCGCGTGGCCCTTGATTGCGCATTAATCAGACCTAGAACTTGCTTATTTCGCAGCTAGACTTCACTGAAGATCGTTCCACATTACCGGCAAAGCCTTCGGAGCGATCAAAGTTACCATTTGTATCAGATAGAAGTAGTCATTCCAAATTCCTCTAACTTGCCTGTGAGCACTCTAAATTGCAGGACACTATAGCAGAGAACAAAACCCGACTAGCGGTCTGGTTGGCTTGACGGATGTCGCCTTCATATGTCTCTTGGTCTGCTTGGAAGGATATATGGAGGATTCGGTTTCATCTACTGGCACCACTTGCAATTTATTATCTAGTATTGACTTAAGGAAGGACTGCAAGCGGATTAATCCAGCGCTGAAATACCTTCGGCTAGGCTCGTTCTAATCTTAATGAAGGCCTCCCCCTATCCCCACATCATGACACTTCGCCGCCGTATGCCACTGGTGCAACAGCTGCCCATGGAGGACAGCTAGTCACTTTAGTAGATTGAAAGTCCATCCCAATCTGCTTCCACCTCTGTCTTAAACGTTACCCTGCTGAACGCAGCTGACTTATCCGAGTAACCCTCGCGACCAGCGGACTAATCCAGATGACAAAGGCCGGCTTTCCCCCGCATATCGTCGGGGGAGGGGGGTGATGAGCCAGCCCCGCCGTGGCACGCGTAGAGGGGACCCTGAGCCGGTACAGTTACTGCACTCGCATGTTGGTGCAACACCCTCTCTAAACACTGGATGGGCGGCCGTCACCAGAAACCTATGGGAGAGCCAGGGACCTGTAATTACACTACGTCCAGTAGGATGCGGATTTAGTCTCGACACGAGTCAGCCCCAAAACTGGCCACACAGATCCACCGAGAAACTGGCCTGTGCTGCTCGGCCTCAAAATTATGGGTGTGATGGCACCCTGTCCTCACCCCCCCTCCCCTAAACGAGGCTGGAAGGAAGAAGAGGATGAAAGAATCTCGTTTTTTAATTTCCTCACAAATTATCCACGAACTTGGAGTAGATCAGTTTATTCAAGGTCCATAGGCTCAGACCGAGAATTTTATGCATGAATATTTGGGCCCAAGTCTATCAGCCACAGCGGGCAACCGCGTAATATTCATTCACTGTCGACAGACAGCTAGTAGTATACTTTAGGCTAACGTGATACCATACCAACAGCACGCGTTCGGCCGAACCCCTTGCGGTTGCGCCATGCAGCGGCAGAATATCGACGAAACACGCGTGTATGGGCTTTTGGCTAGTACCTGTGCTGTTAGTATGGTATCACCTTACCCGAAATGAATGAATCTGTCCGACCCGAATTAAGCTGTAGTTCACGAACCCACGAGGGTTTTCATCGGCGAATCATTTGAACGGTGCTTAGAGCTTATGACCGCTGTTGACACGTTTCAGTTTTGATCGGGAAAAGACAACTCACAGCCACATCGAATTTCTGGCGCAATCTAAGAGGTAAGAATAATTTACCGGAATTCCCGGTCTGGAACGGCGTATCCCACCAGTCGAACAATGAGACTTTCTCATATTGCTGACAGATATGCGAAAGTTTGTTGATCGCCTTCCTACCACAAAGACGCAGAGGATTCTTCAACTCGCCATTTCGGCAGAAACTGTCTTTGTGTTAAATTTCGACTGCAACGCTGAAGTGTAGGACCCCCAAGTACCCCGAATTAGCCTGTGGGCCGTGTTATACGTGTTATCGAGGTAGAGGGGGTTTTAGGGGTTGGGCAACACACAGCACGGGAGAGCAGGAAGACACAGAAAGTAGATAAGTCTTTACGGAAGGTTTTATTGCACGCTGTCATTTGGCAAAGAAAGCGAGTGTGATAATTAAAAAAAAAACAAAATACAATTTTCAAAAAGTAACGGACATTGAGTGAATCGCCGCTGGCAAGTTTACGTTTAGTCTGGAAGGGAAGGAAATGTTAAACAATAAGAACGGTGAATAGTAAGTGATGTTTGGGGTTTATTTTTGTAGTTCTCATCTACTTGGGGGGCGCTACACCCTATCGTTCCTATTCCAACTCCTCGAACACGGGCAGTTTGAAAGATGCTTCCGTCCATTACAGTTCGAAAGTTAAGGAATGGGCAAAAGTCAAGCAAAGATTTTTGATTTTTGATGTGAAAACGTTGCCATTTTTAGATTCTCAGTGGCATCCGAACAGACCACTAAATCCTGTTTCTATTGGGTTGTTTGTTATAACTACATCGCCTTCTGTGTTTGCATTTTTAATACTTTGTAAAAAAAATCGAGGTTGTCTGCAATGCTGTGATGACAGCCCTTAGCGGTGGGTTGAGTTAATTATTTGAAGATGGTGGTACCTCTTGACTTTGAATAGTTTCGTGACACGGGGTGCCTTGACTACTCAACTCCCCAGAGATATGTTGCTGAGTCCGGAATACCGGCGCCTCCATCGCACTAACTTACAATACGACAGCTCGACCGTCAATAGAGACGAAGAGACGATTCCAAGAAGTAGCCTTGAAGAAGGAGACACGATCGCTGGGACAAGATCTTTATTAGCCTGACGTTTCGGATTCCTACCCGAACCCATCATCAGAGACAACAGCAGATAAGGGTGATTCACGCACAAGTTCGAGGAGACCGAAATTCTCGCTAAAGGTGACAACCGAGTGAGTCGGGAGCTACTTGAATCATGGTTTGCTGGCGCCCAGTCCATTAACAAGTGCAATGAACTTCCCCTTCCATACTCGGTGTTGAGACTTCGCCTAAGCGGAGTAATTAGTCACGCGGGGAGCGCACTGGTGAACACTCTTCCCAACACCAGGGTCGGTGGATCAGATGATCGAGCCATCATCCCACCAACATCCAAAGCACGTGATGAAATTGCAGCAATTAGCGACGCGAATGTCGGCCATCAAACAATTAGCACACCAAGTGCGACGATCCCGGATGAAGGGAGGAGTCGTGAATGTTCATAGGTATGCGGTAGCATGGCGACTACATCCTATAAATACTGCGGTCCCTTGTGCCTGCACCACCCCTATCTGCTTTTGTCTTTGATGATGGGTTCGAGCAGGAATCCGAAACGTCCGGCTAATAAAACTCTTGTCCCAGTCATCGTGTCTCCTTCTTCAAGTTCGACCGTTCATTCCGACGATGTCCACTGAAAGGTGAAGCAGACACGGTGGCTTACGCGTGAATATGTTTATAGTGATGGTGGACTTTCGCAGCATCTACTGCACCCCCTCTTCCCCACTCCCAACCAGCGCCCGACGTTGAGGTATATTCAAGAAAATCGGAGGTGGCTGTTACGGCCGGACCCGCATCTGTCCAGCCGACGACGCAACCGCAGTCCACGGACGTTAGTCATTGACCGACCATCATCAGGTTAGTGCTG